CGTCACACTCCACACCCTCCTCCCCCGCGAGGTGTCGCGGGTTGGGTTGTATTTTTATAGGGTGGCTCCCCCCCCCCTCTTGAAGTTGCTGAGATTGAGAAACACTGGCTTAGAGAATGGATTTATTCTGGAATCTGGTTTAGTGTTGTGGGTTGACTCAATGTTTTAAAAGAAGAGGGTGGTTGATGGATTGAAGTTGCTATGAAGCTATTACCAACTAAACGATCGCTTCTATTTTTCTACAGAACTGTGAATCAATAAATTGTTGCTACGTTTTCTTGCTCCTGGGAGAAAAGGTGGGCCAGCTGCTGAGTTCCTTTTCACAATAACATTTTCCTCGGGCTGTTTTTCCTGGATGGGAAAAAAAAAAATCACAGCCCTTTTCTGTATTCTTTATTCCTCCTTATCAATACATCCTTTGATCCCACCGCCCTCTTTTGAAGTTGCGACGGCCATCTCTAGCCCCATTTTGGTTTTCACAATTCTCTTAGAGACCCAGACAGCACTTGGAACAGCAATGATTTCGACAAGGGTCACCCGTGAAGGTGTAAAGGTTAAGTGGGGATTTCAACTCAAATCGTCCTTCTCTTGACTTCATACCTTGAGCCATTGCATATCCCTGCTCTTAATCCCCCAGGCTAAGCCCTTGCTACTGCTGACTTAGCAAGGACCCCATTCCACTAAGAGGGAGGTTGTGCTGATTACGAGCTACAGGTAGTCCTCGCTTAATGACCACAGTTAGGACTGGAATTTAGGTCATGAAGCAATGCGGTCATTAAGTGAATTGTCATGTGACTGGAATTTATGAACTTTCTTTGCATTGGTTGTTAAGTGAATCATGTGGTTGTTAAGCGAATTATGCAGTCGTTAAGCGAATCAGGCAGTTCCCCATTCATTTTGCTTCCTGGAAGCTGGCTGGGAAGGTTGCAAATGGCGATCATGTGACCCTGGGATGCTGCAACGGTTGTAACTTTGGCCACTGGTCGTAAGTCACTTTTTTAGCGCCGTCGTAACTTCAGTCGCTAAAGGAACGGTCATTATGTGAGGACTACCTGTACTGTTAACCACTTGCACTTCCACATGGTTGGCTTGTTCACCCATCTCCCATCTCCTCTTTGATGCCTTTCAGAATTTCGGTTTGCGATGAAGACAAATTCCGCCACAATGAGTTCATTGGAGAAACAAGGATTCCTCTCAAAAAGCTGAAGCCTAACCAGACTAAAAAATTCAACATTTGCCTGGAGAAGCAGCTTCCGGTGAGTGACGCTAAAATGTCAGGCGGCAATTTGAAAAAGCCCACTGCTAGTAGCAAGTTAATAAACACCATCAGTCAGTAAATCAGGCATAAGCAACCAAGTGCACGGGGGGGCAAAAAAGTTAAGAGGGAGGCTGTGACTGTGCAAACAAAGCCCCCCCCCCCCGCACTTCTTCAGTTGCATCACATGTTTGTGATGGAATCCCAGGAGAATGTAGAGAAATGGCAGAAAAGATAGCCAAGTCCTGGGAAAGTAGAAAGTATGAGAAAAAACACTCATTCGTGGCTTCTTGCATTTCCTGTTTCCCAACCAATGCCTTGCCTATCTAGAAGTGCGAGCACGTGTGACATGATAAAAAAGTGCCAGGATTTCAGTTGCATGGCCACTGCTGCCATCTTGACTTTTTTGACCCTCTCCCTCCCGCAGACACCCCTGGATGCTGCTGCCTAGATTTTCCTCCCCCCAGCACTTCACAGCTTGGTCTTTTGTAATATCTGCAGATCTGCTGCAGTCCAGCTTTTCCAGCCATTTGGGGCCTGCAAATTCTAACCTCAGTGTTTGCCCACCTTAGCAACTTTAAGGTGTGTGGACTTCAACTGCCAGAATTCCCATTCCTTGCTGGCTGGGGAATTCTGGGAGTTGAAGTCCACTCAGCTTAAAGTTGCTAAGGTTGAGAAACCTTGTTGTAACTAATTTCCAGTGGAAGTCTTGGTGAAAGAAAGGGAGGGAGGGGAAGAAAGAGAGAAAGAAAAAGAAAGAGGGAAGGAAGGAAGGGAGGGAGGGAGGGGAAAGGGAGGGAGGGAGGAAGGGAGGGGGAAAAAGAAAGAGGAAGAGGAAGAAAAAGAGAAGGAAGGAAGGAAGGAAGGAAGGAAGGAAGGAAGGAAGGAGAAATCTTGGAAACCTCTCAGGAGTTCTTGATGAACAATTCCAGGAAAAAGAAATGTGTGGGAGGCACGAGATTAAGAGAAACTCTCTGGTTGGGAAGAAACAGGCAGCAGAGACATAGAGTAAGAAGATTGCATTTTGTCTCATCTCAGGCTGATGGCTAGAAGGATGAGCTGCTTCTTGCCTTGATCCAGGGGCCTCTTTGGTCCCCTGCATCTCTGAATTCAAATTAAGGAAGATGCTTTTACAAAACACCAACTGCATTAGCAAAAAACCCAAACAGACATCCGTGCTTTTAAGTGTATTCCCACCAGGCTGAAATTCAACTGATGTGACTTTTGACTCATCTTCTCACATTGCACGCTGGTCCAGGATCCTGCCTTCTTGCCCAACTACTAATTACTCTCACTGCTATTGCCTGACAGCTGTGCTGCCCCCCTTTTCTTGAGAACAAAGTAAAATCATCAAAGGAAAGGGCTTTTGCCTTGGAATAAAATTTGTTAGTCGGAAAAGGTGTTCCCAGACTCCTGATTTTACCTTACTTGCTTATCACACACATTTGCAAGACGCCAAATGGTAAAAAAGCGGGCAAGACAACTCGCCCCATCCACTAACACCATTCCAAGAATACTAAATCCAAGAACCGAATAATAAACATAAATATAAAACATATCCAAAGAAACTCAACAAAAGGCAGCCCATTTTGCTAAATTCCCCATTGTCTGGTGCAGTGTTTCTCAACCTTGGTCACTTTCAGGTATGTGGACTGGGGAATTCTGGGAGTTGAAGTCCACATACCTGAAACTGACCAAGGTTGAGAAACACTGCTGGTGGAATAAAACAATTTTAACCATCTTTCTGAAGAGGAGAAGAGGGGGACCAGTCACCCCTATGTTCCATCCATGACACCAAAAGTCTGCTTCTTGGAGGATAGGTACCTAAAGCATTCCACCTTCAGGACAGGCAGTCCCCAAAGTAACACAGAGTTATAATTAACAGCAGCACCAGCAACATCTGCAGGGATGCGGGGGCAGGTAACAGCAGAGTAACAAAAACAGCATTGCACTTCCAGAGTGCAAGCCCCACCCATTTTGTATTTGTATCATGACCCCACACATACTTCCATCGTTTGCACAGAACTACCCAGATCCTGCAGACCTAAATGACCAGCCCTTGGAAGCCGATTGGCGCGTTGCCCCAAAATTGGTTTTACTGCAAAATAACACACTAGCCAGCAGGTGGTTGAACTCTCTATCAGTTATAGCTTCCAGATGGTCTTCAAGGGGAGCCCCAGGTAGAGTGTGTTGTAGTAGTTCGGCCTAGAGGTGATCAGAGTGGGAAGCCCAGTTGCTAATGGTGGGACCTGCAAGAGATACTCCGCCGAGAGTGTGGACTGGACAGAAGGAGGCAGTTCTGCCAGTAACTGGGGCTTAACTGAGTCTGCCCGCATTTGGGAATGCCTATCCAGATGTAATGGGATGTGAGAATAACCTTGAGGAACAGGAGGAAGAGTGTATCCAAGACAATGGTCAGATAAAAGAAATTTGAGTCTGGGGCAGAAATGCAGTTTGAGAAAGCGCCTCAGACTTGACCCTCCCTGGTTCTCTTGAGGATAGAGGCAGGGAGAGGAAGACACATTCAGAGTTGCAAGATTCTGTTACTGTAACCCTGTAATAAAAGTAGTATAGAAAGTCCTCACTTACCAACCACAATTGGGACCGGCAACTCCGTTGCTAAGTGACATGGTTGTAAAATGAAAGATCACACGACTGCGCCAGACTTACGACGTCACTTCTGCTGTGGTCATTAAGTGAGTCACTGCGGGTCGTTAAGCACGACATCACGTGACCACGACATGTGACTTCCTGCCAGCTTCCCTATTGATTTTGCTTGTTGGAAATTGGCAGTGAAGATTGCAAATGGGATGCTGCAACCATCATAAATGTATGCTGGTTGCCAAGCGCCTGAATCATGATCACATGACCACGGGAACTCTGCAATGGCTGCAACTTTGAGGACCTTTTTCAGCACGGTTGTAACTTTGGTCACTGAATGAGCAATTGGTAAGTAAGGACTACCTGTATTAGCATTCATAACTTTGGTTTCCTAGTCTAGTCTACCTTGAAGGGTTGATCCCAGAAAAGGGAGGATATCCATACTAAGTCCAGACAGACTCCCGATTTCTCCCAGCTGGCCTTACCTGGACAAGGCCAGATGGTCTGGCTCTCGCGGCTCAGCGCAGGATCCTGATTGAATCCGACATCCCCTTTAACATGTATTCAGCTGTGATTTGGGTTGCCTTTAATCTCGACTTCGCCTTGCCAGCGATGAGTGCGTTGTTATTCCAGCAAGCAAATTAACTGTGTCAGACGTGCCACTGAGTTGGGGAGGAAGAATAGGGCTAAGACCTTGCGCAGGTGGCTATGGAGGGATGGGGAAAGTGGGGAGAAAGATCTTGGCTTCTCTGAAAAAATCCAAGAGATGTTCTTGGGACGATCAACCTTCTAAGACTAGGCCAGACCTGACCATGTTGGCTCAGAGGATCCCCTAGAGCAGTGTTTCTTAAAGTGTGGTCTGAGGACCCCTGGGGGTCCCCCAGGACCCTCTAAGGGGTCCATGAAATCAAAATGATTTGCCAGACAATGAAGATATTTCCAAAAATTTAAAACACTGTCACTCTTCTCAATATTATTTTTATTTGTTAAAAAAATAAGGGTTTTCTTCATGAAAAAGATTTTATTTATGTTCATATTGAGTGGGTTTCACATTATTATTTTTACACGAATCAAAAAATAAACATTCTACAGATGCATCCATTTTATTTTTTAATGCAGTGTAAATATTGATCAATATAACCCATACAAACAAAAGCTCTTTTTGGGTGGGGGACCTCCACAATTTTTCAAAGGGGGAAGGGGTCCTGAGAACAAAACGTTTAAGAAATGCTGCCCAAGAGCAACAGATGACCCTCCAACCCCTGAAGATTGTTCCACCGGGTGATCGCTAGAAATTGGGAAATGTGCACTTCCTTTTTTAAACAACTCCCGCTGCTTAGTCTTATACCACAGAGAAACCCTAGCAAACGTCAATGTATTTATTTCTTTGTCTTGTAGCATGCCCCAAACCCTGTCTTCCAGTTTTTTCCCATGAGATAGTGGTCCAACTGGCCCCAAATCACCGTGAACTCCCATAGTAGAGGGGGGGAACTTGAATTTCAGTGCCTTCAGGAGTACACTGCATTTATATTGATATATACATATTTATATGTTTATATTTATATAATGTTTATATTGTATTTCTATTTATATAGTAGAAATACAATATAACATAATACAGTAGAAATACAATATAAACGTAGAGGAACTTGGAATTTCAGTGCCTTCAGGAGTACACCACATTTATATCGATATATACATATTTATATGGTTATACTTATATAATATTTATATTGTATTTCTACTTATATAGCTATAAAACGTAGAGGAACTTGGAATTTCAGTGCCTTCAGGAGTACACCGCATTATATTGATATATACATATTTGTGTGGTATTTCTACTTATATAGCTATAAAACATAGAGATGTGCACAACAGATAAAGGTGGTGTGAGATGAGACAGGGGCTCAGCACTGGAGACAGCAATCCTCCCTCTGGCCGCACCATAGCTGCATTGCTCGGATTCTCGCGTCCAGGCAAGCAAGCCGTGGGGATTCGCAGCTGAAAAGGATTCAGGGATGCGAGGCTGACCCAGCAGCCCTCTAAAGCTACAATCGCCGTATCTTTTCCCGTCCAAAAGACGGGTCAGGAGCATCCTGTCTCACGCTGGCGTATCAGTTTCAGCCTCCTGCTCAATCTGGACTCCCCTTCGTCTTTGCAGAATCCCAGGATTCATCTTGAGACTTTGCGAGGAGAAGTTATGAGTGCAGGGGACAGGGTGGGGATCAAGGAGAAAACCCATAAGGCACAGCTCAGTTTTGGAACAACTGTGCTACCTGCAGAAGATCCCAGATAGGACCTTGGAGGAAAACATATTTGAATCCGGGGTGGAGGGGAGGGTTGCTAGATGCCCTCCAGATGCTTTGAGCTGCAACTCTGATTGGCTCCAGCCAGCAAGGGATTGTGGGAGTTGTAGTCAAAGTTCTCTAAGGACAACAGGCTGACTTCCTTAAATGCCAACATTACTGAATCCAATGCTATCTGGACTACTGCAGCAAACTCTGTGTGGGGTCACCCCTGGAAACAATCTGGCTGTTGCAGTCAGTAAAAATGTAGGCAGTGGGGGCACCCGCAGGGCACATGCATGTCAAAAAATCAAGATGGTGGCAGTGGGGTTGAAGGCCCTCCCCCTTTTTACATGACCTCTTCCCCACAGATGCCCCAGCGGGCAACCGGGCTGCTGAGCCATGCCAGATGCAGGAATTATATTCATGCCTGTTCCAAACACTTCCAACTGTCTGCCAATTCCTACGGTGCAAATATGACGAGCGGGTATTAACCTTTAATGCCGAAACAGGTTTAAAACCTCAAATATCTGCAAGTTTGCCCAACCCTAAAGATTGGCCGGAAGAACAGCTGGAAGAGGGTTTTGCTGTCCGAGACCAGTCGGTCCGTCTGGAGAGGGCTCTCCTCTTGCATTGCACCCACGTTAAGAGAAGGGGGAAGAGGTCCAGAAGATCATTCAAATCATGTTAATGTGGGTTTTTAACTTTGGGAGCTGGCTGTTTAAACGTCACTTGCCGCTTTGAGTAGGAACCTAAGTAGGAAATCGTAGTATTATAACAACATTGAACGCTCCTTGCTAGGCCAGATGTGCCTGTGGAGGGGGGGCATGCCAAGGAAAAAGAGTGTTTGTGATCCAGTCGATCATCCCCACCATTCCCAGTCTGTGGCTACTTTGCTGTTGGGAGATCAGCTCTTCCTGGCAGTTGGGGCTCCGGGTGTGAGACTTGGCTGAAGCTGCCATAACTAAAAGCAGAGAGGACACAAAGGCAGGAATCTTAGATCAGACCTCTAAAAGATCTCAAAGATCAAGGGGAAACCACTCGTTCAGGAGGCAAAGGGGAAAAAAGTCACCCGAACCAGACAAAAGAAGTTGGGCCTGAGCACATGGAAACCACCCCCCCACCCCAACCCCATCGACAGCTACCAGATTGGGGAGTTAACAAGGCAAGAACAGCTGCCAGTCTTGTGAATCAACAAAGCAAGGGCTTTGGGGTATAAAAGGGGTCCTGAAGCCCACCCACTCCTTGAGTCCTCTTTGGAGCCAGACTCGGCAGCTTCCATCCCTCTAGCTAGTGCCTGGCAGCCTAGTTGAGAAGGACGTGGGGAAGTGTGAGCGAGTATGTGCACACGTGTGAGAAAGAGCAAATGTACATTGTAAGCAGTAAAGTTTTGCTGCTACTTTAAATTAATTGGGTCTCTGTGTATTCCAAAGAACCTGATGCACCTCAGGGTTTGGTTGGAAGTGATGTGTGCGTGCCGCTAATTATCTCCCATCTGTTGACCAGGGCTGTGGGTCTTGCCTGGCCCAGCCACCCCTATCTGGAAAACCCAGGTAGAAAGCAAGGAGGGCTGACAAAATCCGCGTGCCTCAACAGCCTGTGAGTGAGTGACCATAAGCCGAACCTGGGAGCCCCTGTAACACGGGCAGAGATTTGGGGCTGACCCCTTTCGCTTGCTTCCCCCTCTGTTCACAGATAGACAAAATGGAAGACAAATCGCTGGAGGAACGTGGCCGGATCCTCATTTCCCTGAAATATAGCTCCCAGAAACAGGGCCTGCTGGTCGGCATCGTCCGCTGCGCACATTTGGCCGCCATGGATGCGAATGGCTACTCTGATCCCTACGTGAAAACGTAAGTGACCCCGGTTAGAGCCACCAGCTCCTCCCCCCACCCAGCCAACCTTGGTTGTTTTCCAGAAAACTAAACCAGAGTTACACTTAGTCTGCATTTCTCTTTTTCATTAGACGTTCTGGAGTCTCTGCTTCTTGGCCATTGTTCCATGGCAAACTATTATATTTCATTCTTCCAATTTCAAATGTTATTGTTTGATTACCATTCTGACTGCCTCTACTTCATTATGGATGAATAAATGCTTGGCGCTGGAATAATTTCCAATCAAGGCGATTGCAGAAGCTGGGAATTTCTGGCACAAAGAATTCACGGCTCATTCTTTCGCCACCTTTTAATCCTCACGTAGCTCTGCAAAGTGGGTTAGGGTGAGGAACAGTTGCTCAACCCAAGCATATATTGAAGTCACAGTGAAGTGGAGACTTGAAGCTTTGTCTAGTACAATTGTAGTCTGACAGATACACACTTGCCACACCTCCCTTTTGGGATAGCCATTGTTATGCTGACTGGAGAAAAGAAGCAAGAAGCCTTGGTTTGATTAATTATGTGCCATCATTTTCTTAGACCTTCTCTTGGAGGATCTGTCCCCAGTCTCGTCCTTCAGATCTCTAACGGCGCCCCCATTGCCACTCTATCTGAGTCCATCCCCCTTGCTGTTGGTCATCCTCTTCTATCTCCAGCCACCTTTCCCAGAATTATGAACTTCCCAAGAGAGCCGGGTCTTCCCATAACATGTCCAAAATATAATTTGAGCCTGGTCACTAGTGCCTTAATTATGTGACAAAGTGTCGACTCTTAGTGCCCACATAGATAGACCTTCTCCAGGGTGATCTGTCCCCAACCTGGTCCTTCAGGTCTTTCAATGGCCTCATAGCTGCCATAACTAACCATCTTGCTGCTGGTTGTCCTCTTCTTCTCTTTCCTTCTACCTTTCCCAACATTAGAGCCTTCTCCAGAGAGCTGGGTCTTCATGTTGATTGATTGATTAGTGCCATCAAATGGGTGTTGACTTCTCAGCAACCACCTAGATAGTTTTTTTACAGGAGGATCTGTCCCCAACCTGGTCCTTCAGGTCTTCCAATGGTGCCGCCACTGTAACTGAGACCATCCATCTTGCTGCTGGTCATCCTCTTCTTCTCTTTCCTTCCACCCTTCCCAGCATTATAGACTTCTCAAGAGAGCTGGGTCTTCACATCATGTGTCCAAGGCAGACAGGCAGACAGACAGACAGATGATGTACATCAATTGGAGACAGATTTTCTCTGTGATGATCTGTCTCCATCCTGGTCCTTCAGCTCTCCCAACAGTGCACCCTTCACCACTGTAACCGAGTCCATCCCCCTTGCAGCTAATTGTCTTCTTCTTTTTCCTTCCACCTTTCCCAGCATTATGGACTTCCCAAGAGAGCTGGGTCTTTGCCTAATGTGTTCAAAATAGAATAATTTGAGCCATAATGTGCTTTGATTGATTTTGGCTTAGCTTGTTGTGTTTATCCATCCATTGTGGTTTGTGCTTTACAACTTAGTGTGTTATGTAAACTCAGCTGATTGTGGTTTCTTCAGTAAGCCATGATTAAGCAAGCCATGTAATTGTGGCACATGAAAGATGGACAGCTTGTTATGACATACGTTTTTCCGGATGTTAAGTTATATCTCCAGATGTTTTAAAAACAGCAGGGTTTGTGCATGGAAGAATTAAAAAGTAGTCCATTCGGAGCTAGGAAACCCCATATTTTCTTCTTCCTACTTTCTTCCAAGCCCCGCTGGTGACACAGATGCTTCGATATGAATTTCTGGATTGTCTTATATTCAGTGCTCCATTTCCTTCATATGTGCCTTGCCTGCACATACATGAAGGAAATGACACCTCACCAAATTCAGTCTGAGAGCCAGCAGTTTCCTGAAAACATGCCTCAAAAGGAAGGCAAACTGGTTAGCAGTAAAAGAACAGCCATTGGAAAAGAAGGAAGGAAGAAAAGGCTCCTGAAAGTAAAAAAAGGCAGCCAGCAACCAAGGAACCTGCCCGCTGTGTCTCTGTTTGAATCACTAGACTTCCCAAAGAAATTGCCTGTTGAGTCACAGGACCCAAAGAAGCTACCTGTTGTATCTCTGTTTGAGTCACAGGACTTCCCACACAAATTGCCTGTTGTGTCTCTGAGTCACAGGACTTATCTCCCTGCAGCCAGTCTCTTCGTGTGTTATTCTGTTGCATTATGGCACCAATTCCAATGGAACAACACAGCTGAATTTCCTGCACTCTCAGAAGGCACTCTCTGGAGCTTCCCTGCATGAGTTCCTGCTCTGAGTATATCCCTTTCTAGTCTCAAACAGAAGCATAAGGAGCAGGCAGTACTGAGGAAAGGATATCCAAGTCCACGGAGAGGAACCTTGCACTGCCTTTGATCTCTTTGCCCATTGAGTGGATCCAATTGCTGCTTATTCAACAAACCATGGTTGAAACATGGCTTAGTGTGATGTGTGACCCCAACCTTGCTCTCGAGTGAAATTCAAGCTTCCAAGCATTTATTTTTTTCATCCCCATTCCTCAGCTCTGCGGCTGGCTCCAGGCCACCATGATTTACTCCGTAAACGTCTTCATCTCCCAGCTTACAGCACGCAGGGTCGATTTATAAGACAACCCACAAGATCGTAATTCTCACACACACACACACACACACACACACACAGACTACAAAGGAAAAGAGAGTCAGTGGTATCATAAATAAAATATGGTAATAAAGATATAGCAGCTTCAAAGAACCATAGGATTAAATGCCAAGGCAGCCGTAAAACAGTGTGCCCCTTCTGTTTAATTAAAAACTCCAGAGAAAATAATTGCTTTACTCTGGCGTCTCGGTTCAAGGCTGCTGGAAGATAGTGGGGTTTTGTGAAAGAAATCCTAGAGTTGGATGGGATCCCTGGAGGCCATCTACTCCAACCCCCACTCTGGGCAGGAATCCGAGTGAAAGCATCCCCGACAGATGGCTGCCAACCTCCCCTTGAGCCCGTCCAGCAAAGGGCGGCCCACTTCTTCTGTGGGTCATGATGCCCCCTCCAACTGCTCTCGCTCTTTCAGACGTTGCTTTTGACATGCAGTTGGAATCTGCGGTCGTGCCACTTTAATCCAGTGTTTCTCAACCTTGGCCACTTTAAGATGTGTGGACTTCAACTCCCAGAAT